AGCTGAATTTTACATTGCAATTACTGTACCATGCACTAATACAGGAGGCTGTCACTGGAATCTGAGCGACATGCTAAGGCTTAAAAGGCAAAGCTGAGCTTCAACCAACAATGGATCCACACAGAAAGAGAGGTTTTGGCACACCTTAAAAGGTAATTTAATGAAAGTCCATGTCCATGCTAACTGTATCAGCCTGGACACTCCCTGCATCCGAGTGGTCCCAGAGGCATGCCCCAGTGCCGTGTCTCAACTCTCCCTCCTCCTGCTCTGGCAATTGTTCTTGCTATGCTTGCACCCTCCTATGCGTCCTGCCATGTGAATTAAGCCCTTCATTCATAATGTTTATGTCTTCAACCAGCTGAAAGTGGAACGAATGCACTGAAAATGCAGGCCAAATTAAACCTCTTTTCCTTAAACAACAGACAACATCTACCGGTCTCATGACAGGAAAGTTGACTAACACAGAATATCGATAAAAGAGAAGCGGGGCTGTTGCCGTGACTGTTCCGGGCCTGCCAGGATTATGACTGTAGAATTGAGTCTTTTGATTTCCCCACAAAGTACTTAGGAGTAATAAAAATTATTCTAAAGTATTATCTTAAAGTATCTTCCAATTAATTAATATATCCATTTTTTTGGTCTTCTGTTTAAGTAGTTTCTTGATGAAAAGGAAATGACAGTAACAGGAATTTTGCATAAGGATTTTTTTTTAAAACCAGCCTACTTGGTTTCCAAGGAAGAAAAGGCCAATGTGTGTGTCGGTGGCTAGCATTGGGAGGCTGCAAGAGAAGGGTATAGTCATCAAATTCGGGAAAACCAAAGACGATTGCTAAAATATTGATGTCAGTAGTTGGAACATTGAACTTCAGAAAAGAATAGAAAGGAGTAGTATGATTCAAGGCATTCATTTCTATTTTACAATTTTAATTTGGGATGAATTTAATGTTGTGATAACTTATTTTTATTTGAAAATCTGCTCAACTTTATTCGTAGGTAACAACATTAGTAGTCTCTGTGTTTTCACTCAAAAACTCCTAGACTCTATAGCATAAAGAATGTTTATGAAGCAGATTTGGCTTCCTTTAGGAATGGCTTTAAAATAAATGCTGAATTTCTGACCCAGGGCTTGACAGGGAATGCTTTAAAAATATAATCAGGCATGTCTCATGATATTTAAAAATACCTATCTTATAGTATATTAAAATTATAATAGATGGCTATAAAACAGTCATGCATAAATCAAGTCGTTCGGTTAAAGGAATATAATAAATTTCAGTTTTTCTTTCACAGGTAACTTGAAAATTACATTTTATTGGCTTTTTTTTTTCTATGCTCTCTCTGCTTAGGTATGATCTCTGAGTTATTGGAGGCACTGGGTTAGTGAAAACCTGAATGAGACACTGGAACATGCAGAAAGCTTAATTCACTTGTGGGGCTCAAACATAGACACTTTTCCTTCGTTCTAACATTCTATGAAATTAAATTTTTTCTTCTACAATTGCTATACTAGTTATCTCATTATGTTAGTTGTTATAAACCTTAAGCAATAAATGTATCATAATTTTGTGTGCTGTTCTAACATTTGGAAAAGTTTAGGGTACATTAGATGATTCTACATCAGAGTTTTGTTAAGTATGAAATGATAGAAAGGTGCCCATTTCTTTAAACAAGTTTTGCCTGTGGCAAATAGGGCCTTCTAAATCGCTTCCCATTGTCAAACTAATCTGTGCTCAAAGTTATTTGTTAGTGATGTTTATAATGACGGATTTTGTTTTTCTTTCTGGTGTTCATTTTTCTTAAAAAGAATCCATTGTTTACTAGTCAAAAATAGGTGGCAAGTTAGTAACATACCAAAGCAAGGCACCAAGAAACACTGAATGGGAGAAATTGCTCAGCCCTGCTTACAGCCTACTTGTTACATATGTAAACTGCTGACAAGTACTACTAGGTCATCAGGAAAATCTTGTGAAGAGTTTCCACACCTTACAGAATCCTCCAAAGACAGAACTTTAAATGTAGAATACAGATAAAGGTGGCAAGTTGAGAAGTACGTTAATTAAATGCAGCTAATGTGAAGTAGCAATGTAATGTAAAAAGATTAAGAATGAAAGATAAAGCATAGTTGATTCCTGTAACTGTCTCATAAAAATGGTTAACTTTAGTTTAATTCTGAAAAGCCATTTTAAATTTTAAGATTTTATTTTAAGTGATTTCTTATGCAAATAAAAATATTGAATTCTATTTATGAGATTTAAAAGAAAAATCCAAAGAATTTGTTTAGGATCCTAAATATTATTTATTAATTCAGCACCATCTTTTTCATTTTTTTTGGTGGCACTGGGGGTTGAACTCAGGGTCTTATACATGCAAGGCCAGCACTCTACCTCTGAATTGCATCCCCAGCCTCAGCACCATCTGTTTTTACAAATTTTACCTTAGCTGTCTCTCTCAAATTTATTTTTGTTGCCTTCTGTTCTGAAAACGAACTAATTTGATAAAAATGTCAAATTCACGCACTAGAGAGAATGCTAAAATTTGCAAATGTTATTTTAGTCCTGCTCAATTGTAAGATTTTGAATCTAAGTTAATTTCTTCCTGCCTTACAAGTAAATTATTACAGCAGTGAAATCTCTCAGGATTTATAATTATTCAAATTGTACACATACATTGTTAAATATATGAAATTAGAAGTATCATGATACAATACTATTTTTAAAATAAAAAAAAATAGAAGTGACAACAGACTTCCCAAGAAAGTTTCAGTATTTCATATATTACAGGCTCTGTCTAACCAAGACAGTGTTATATCAATTTAATTGATATAATTAAATTGGGTTGGATACTCAACTCTATGCCGATAGCTTATAGAAACTAGTAGCAAACTTCGCTTTCAAAACGTAATTATATTATAGAGACACCACCATGAGATGTTTTAAGTACCCTTCTTGAATTTGAAATAATTGATTAGTTTAGGTCATAATTTTTTCTTCCAAATTTTATGACTAAAATATTGAGTCTTGTCTTATGGCCTATATATGTGATATTCTGTAGTCTGCCATTAGTTTTATGCAACGAGTGTCTTTCAGGCCTGCAATCAGAAGTTTAAAATGAACAACCATGTATTCAAGAATCATACAAATTTTCAAATGTGCTCAAATATAACTAAATAGTGTACATTGTGCAACATGTGAACATACAGTTCTCCAAGTTTCCATACAATTTATTTCTTCTTTGTGGCTAGAATAAATTTCTATTGAAGTACAGGGACAGAATTATGGAGCAATTACCTCCCCACACCTGAGGAGTTTATTTAGCAAATTTTACACTGACAACTGTGAGAAATTTTTAGTTATAAGGAATTGTAAAGTGATTACAGTAATTATCCAATTTTAACTTCTAAGGGTAAAACTGAAAGAGGGAAATTTAAAGTGATAAATTCAATAGCAAGCAAGGTTATCCAATAGAACAATATCTCACAACTTCTTTCTAAAAATTTAGGTTCTCATTTTAATGGGATAGATATAGGTTCTATAATTTGTTCAAATAGAAAGAGAACTTGCTTTCTATAAGAAAAACAGATGGAAAGAAGACGACTCAGGTTTTAATTTCGCTGAGTAATTAACTTTCTAGTAGACTTCAAAGGTCTAGTTGCATTCATTTTGATAAAATCTGGTTGCTTTATTTACCAACACCTAGAGTATAATATCTTGTGGTAAGCAAGATACTGTCTCTGTAAGAAAAACACTTGAACACTATAATGTAAGTTACTTTTTATTCAGGCAAAATACATGCCAGAGACAGTTAATTTTCACTGTAGTTGTGTCACAGGTTGTAAATTTGCCTTATTTTACTTTTGGCAACTTGTAATTTCACAGTCCACCGAAAATAATTCAACACCAGGAACTGCTCTTTGGTAGTATTCAGTTAAGCAGGTCTATACAATATTGATGGTGATGCTTAAAGTCCAGTTAGAAGAGCATAAAAATTATGACTTATGTCATAAATGCCACAATAGCACTCAAGTGTTTGTGAAGTAAGTTATTTCGCTTGAAATTCAGGTCAGACCAAAGCAAAACTACCCTTTACCCATAACTTCAATCCCCACCCCATCCTTCTCAAGTAAATAGAAAGAACAAATGTACTGTGGATTTCTTTGAAAAGGTTTGGGACTGTTTTGTTTTATTCATTTTTCTACATATAGAACCTTTGTTGGCCTTTAAAACCCAATTTAGAAATGTAGTTTATGTATTTTCTGGCACCAATAAAACAAATACAACAAAATGAATGCATGCTCCTTTCAGCCTGTAAGATTTGTTTTTTAAATTGTTCTATTTGCAGTTAGGGGAAACACATGAGATCATTTCTTTTTCTCTGCCAACAGCAAACTGCTTTCCCCACCCCACGTGGCCAGTGGAGCAGAAAAACTCTGGCCCTCCGCGGGCACGCAGGCGCCCAGACTAGGCAACTGAATGGGGCAGGGCGCAGCCAGCGGGCACCTCTTGTTCAATCAGATTGTGCCGAGTCGCCCCCGGGTGTGCGTGCAGCATCAGTCCACGGAATAGAAGACCTAAAAGGGTACTCAGCAGACGGTTGCAGTTGCAGCGAGCCATTTCTGCATTATACACACATTGGACTCTGCCCACGTGCGTTTCGAGGGCTGAACAACGCGCGCGCACACACACAGATACACATCCCGAAACTTACAAGGCTCAGGCTCTGACACGTCCCTCGAGCACCCCAAATCCCGCCCCTTGCCCCTCAGCAGCTCCCCACCCACACAGGCTCCACGTGGGCGCACCCCGACGCCAGGCCGCCTGCGGAGCCTCTGCCCACCCCACAGCTGGGAGGGAAGGCGAGGCCCAGGGTCGGGATGGACAAAGCGGGCGTCCAATCGAGCTCTGCTCTGCCACTCCGCAGGGCGGGATCAGCGGCTGGGACGGCCCAATGAGCGGGGAGCCCGAGTGGGACTTCCTCCGGAATCCCGTTGGCCAGAATAGCGGGGCCGCGGGTGACACGTAGGTTGGGTGGGAGGGGGCGGCGGCCGGGGCTCGAGCAGCCCAGTCAGTGACACCGGCTCGCCTCCTCGCGATCTGTACCCGGGCAGGCTGTTCACACTTACTACCCACGCGGGGGTCCGTGCGCGCGGGCACCGCCGGGTCGTTTTGTTGGGCGCACGCTCTCCCTCCAGGAGAGGTGGCCGCAAAGTCGCTAGGGGGAGGGGAGCGGTCAGGGCGGGACTCCTGCAGTCTCCAGGGATAGTGGGGTCAAAAAGTGGGGAGGAGGAAATAACAGCGGGCGGCGTCTGGGGACCCGCGCGCGGCAGGCGGCGGAGAAGTATGCGGAGGGTGCCCTGCCGGGCCCAGGCTCGCGCGCGCTGCCAGCCCTGCAGAAGTTTGGCGGCCGCTGCCCGGGCAGAGTCGATGGCCGCGCGCCGCGGGGCGCGCGGGGGCTGAGCGGGCGCCACTTCCCCTCCAGCCCCGCTTTTGTGTCTCGCGTCTCTTCCTCATGCTGTGTCCGGCCGTCTCCCGTGGTGACCGCTGCTGAGGCGCACGCTCGCTCGGGCCGAGGAGTGGACACGGCGGCCACGGCCGCGGCCCAGGGTTCAGGCGGGACTATGGGAAACGGGATGTGCTCCCGAAAACAGAAGCGGATCTTCCAGACGCTGCTGCTGCTGACCGTGGTGTTCGGCTTTCTCTATGGCGCGATGCTGTACTATGAGCTGCAGACGCAGCTGCGGAAAGCCGAGGCGGTGGCGCTCAAGTACCAGCAGCACCAGGAGTCTCTCTCTGCCCAGTTGCAAGGTACGGTTAACGGGACGCGCGCGGCCAGTGGCAAACTTTCCCCGCGCTTCCGCCGCAAGAGAGTGGCTTCGGTGACTCATGGTCACTGCGGGTGCCACCTCTGACCTTCAAGGATTTCCAAGAGCGCGGACCAGAACTGCAGGGCCCCGGGTCAGAGGAGTTGACAGCCTTATCCTTTGCTTCCTCCCAGCGTTTACCTTTGAAGTCGGTTGCCACAGTCTATCGTCCTAAGTCTGTTGGGCGGGAGCACCTGACTTCTTCACCAAGGCCCTGCTCCAGTCTGGGCAGAAAAGCCTGCCGGAGCTTCTGCCAGCCTTCCCAGAGGGGCACAGTTCCAGGTTTTTAGGTATTTGCTTTCCAGGGGACTTTGTGTGTGTGTGTGTGTGTGTGTGTGTGTGTGTGTGCGCGCGCGCGCGCGCGCGCACACACACACACACACACACACACACACAGAGAAAGCTTTTAGCTCTCACCTGTACTTGTGGTTTATTTTCAACACTTATGGTGTTTCCTCTACCCCCAAAGCAGTAAGTAGTGAATGCTGAACAGATTTTGCTGATAATGCAGATACAGCTTACTTTATATTTCTAGGAAGAAAGGGGTTTCTCTCTGCGTATGTGTATACAGATATAAAACAGATGCCTTTTCCTTGCCTCAATTATTCAGTGTTTTTAGTAAAAAAAAAAAAAGATGCCTGTCTTGTACACTTTTGTGGATTACAAATAACCAATCCAAAGTGACTAATATGTGCCCTGGAGCATAATCCTACTACTATTTCTTAGGTGAGAAAAACTGCTGTTGCTGGTTAGTGTTGGGCTTCTTTGTATTTTGCCCACCCTTTACTCCATGTAGTAAGTAATAGTGTTCATAGTTGTGTTCTAAATATGGCTGTTGCAGAGCCCACAAAACTTTTTATTTAACTGAAGATACTCTCACTGTCTTTTCTACCATTTTGACACTTTTTGGGAGGAAGAAAAAAAAAGTCCCCAAAACCCTTTACATGATAGCAACTAAGAGTTGCCCTTTTTCATTTTGTGGTTTTTCACTGAGGGCAAAATGTTTGCTACTTTTGCCAGGGGGTGGTTTGAGGATTTTGTAGGTTTATTTAGAAATAAAAATTATATGAATGTAACTTATTGTAAAAGAAAACTGTTAACCTACATTTTCTTTTTCAGCCACTGATACTTGAAGTAAATTTATTTTGATAAAATTTTGAAGATTTGTTTGAAAAGATTATTTTAATATATATAACATTTATCAAGTGCCTCCCATGTTTGCATAGTGTGCTAAGCATGTTACACACATTCTGTTCTCTGTGTGGTGCCTGCACTTTAAGGAGAGTGAGCAGTCTGAGGCCTAGAGAGGTTAATTAGCTTTCCAGGGTTAAGATCTGGCCTTGCAAAACTGAGCTTAGAATGCCCCCAAATGCTGTCCCACCTGTGTTTTTTCCATGATATTCTGCTCCCCTTAAAATTACTTTAGTGTCTCATGACAGTGTTGATTTTGAGAAAATAGGTTAGGTGGCTTGTGTGAGGAATCAAGGTAAGAATTAGTATCAGAAATAACAGATGCAGTTATCTGAGGCAACGTTTCCTGGGTATGGGACCTTTGCTGCTGTTGTGATTGATGATTTTGGTTGGTACTGGAGTTGACAGTAAGTGGATGCCCAAAATAACATCAAATTGCATAATGAAAAAGTTATAACTCCTTTGCAGTTTCTTCTTGCAAAGGAGCCCATTTGTTTTCCAAGAGAGCAAAGATCAGGCATCAGACAGCCTAAGAAAGAACTTGATGATCATTAAGATTGTTTTCTGGTGTATAACTTGTAAGTTATCCATTAATGCATGTAAATAAAAATTTTAATTTATAAGGTAGTGGTATAAGGTTTTCTTTTCAGAAACCTAGTGTAAGGGGAAATAAATATTTGTAACTCTTAGTACATACTTTGCAGGTTTGCATAGATACAGTGAAAACTTGTGCATGGAGCACCACTAGGTCTGAAGTTTAAATCTGACAGAGACAGTGAATTTTGTAATTAGTAAATGGAATTTTGAGATGTGTAAATCAGTAGTCATTGTGTCTCAAGCTAATCTGGAGCTTACATACCCTGACTTCCAATAAAGATGCATTCCTCCACTGTACTATTCTCTACCCAGCGCCCCAGAATAGCACCTTGTACTCGGTTTGAACAGAAATGAGCATTGCTGATTTTAAACAATGCTTTGTATCTTCTGAATGGCACTTTTGTGATTTTTGTTTTTATGGCATATGTGTGCTTCTACTGAAGACATGTCTGTTATTGCTCTTCACTAATAAGTCTCACCAAGTAAGTTCATATCCTTGAGGGACATGAGTATGAAACAAACTGCTGTCTGTAACAGTCTGACATTTAAAAATATTGCTTTAATTCTTTTTCATACGTAAAATGTCACAGTATGAGTGAATTCAAAAGTAAAAGATGTGCTGGCCGTCTGAAGGACAGGCTTTATAGAACATTTAAATGATACCATTTACTTTCTTTTGAGAGTAAGTGAATATAAAATTATAATCATTTTAGGGGAAGTAAACATCCCATTTTTCATTTATATTTCATTAAGATACTTTCTTTAATTGGAATTTTTGGTACAAACAAGAAATAGTGCATAGATATTTAAGAGATCTTAATTTTTAAGACATTGTTTAAGACATTGTGTGCTGTCTTGACAATAGCTATAATACTAGAAGTGTTATAAATGGATTAAAATAGGACATTCATTCAATAAATATTTGATTACTTGACTTAGTTTGAACAGAATTCATCAACTTTTACATTAATAAGATTTAATGTTACATATCTATGTCTGCTGTGCTGCATCAATAGTTCAGCATTTAATGAGCATTAGAGAGAACTTTTAAAAGAATCTACGTTCTATTAAGAGATTAGGACACCCTAAAACAAGTTAAATAGTATTGACATCAAGCACTACTTTTATTAGAAGGTGAAAACTAAATCTTCCATATATGTATCAGTTCAAAATCCAGAAGTCATCCAGATTTGATCCAGGGGTGAGTGGGTGAGGTTTTTTGGGTTCAATTCCTCAAATATAACTCTTCAAGTTCAGTTCTTCTTTCTCTGTAGATCTATGAAATTAAAAACTTAAATTATCTGCCGTTAACAGAGGCAAAATGCAGTAGTAGGGTTGGCCTAAGATACTTAGATATTCCTGATCAAAAAAGATAGACATGAAGTACATAGGAAGTCACTGAATTGTGAAATCTAAACTGCCAAAGTATCCTGGAGTAGGTCCCTAGTTGGGAATAATTCTCTGCGACTTGAACTCTACCCTTTGTCCTCTTGGTTCCACTGTCTGAGTCATTTTTCCTCTGTAATGAAAGGTAGAATATACATACAGTATTTGCAGCCGAGTAGTTTTCCAAGCTCACTTCCTGCAGATAGAACTTTGGAGCTCCACAGTCTCTTTATATTTAGTACTGTCTCTATACCTTTCAGTCCAAATTGACAGTTTTCTGCTGACGGAATCCTATCAAAAATGTCGTGGATCTCCTATGGAAACTTGTCAGAATTTTTATTGACAAAAGCCACATCCACGTGTCTCTGAGAGGCAAGTCCTTCTCTGCTTTGGGCGTTGGTAAAGTGGATGAGAATCAATACCCTTCCATTTCCTCAGCTCCTATGAAAGGCCGTGGTGTAAAAAGTCTGATGCTGTGATTGAGTAATATTCTCAGATGCCGCTGTTACTATTTCCAAGGTTTTAACAAAACATTTACAGTCACATCCTCATGTTTTGTCTTTAGATCATGTTTTTTTGGCAGTAACTTTCTTAATTCTTACTTTTTTTTTTTTTTATAGGCAAAGTACATAGTTTCAAAACTTCGTCCTGGCTTTTTCTTCAGCCATTCTCTCAATTTATCCCTTTCCTGTAAAGTAGACGAAACAAGGTGGATGGCTTTAGCATTTTTCTGGGACATCTTAACTGGATCATCCAGTTCATTTGGCAATTTTTACTTCCTGTAGGGCTACATGTGACTGAAGGCCACAGAGCTATATATAAGTGTGGTACACCAGGCTTTGTGGCACTACATAATTTCTGATTTCCAATACATTTTTTCTTACTTTAAGTTCTTCTTAAAGTCCAAATTTCTGTGAACAGTGTGTTTTAGACTCCTTACACTTTTGCTGACACTCCTCTTAAGATCTACTACACAATTCTAAAGCCATGCGTACTTTTAGAGTTTTTGGTACCACTCTTTTCCAATATTTATTTTAGTTATCTTTCTGCATACCAAATTATCTGAAAGCTGCATTGGCTTAGAACAACATACATTATCAGATAGCTTTCATGGGAAAGGAATCCAGGCTTAGCTGACTGTCTCAGTGTGTTGCTGTAAAGACTTGAAGTTCTCTCAGAATTTTCCTGGAATTGAAGGATGTTCTTCAGAATTAACTCAGGTGCTATCCACTTCCAGACTCACTTATCTAGGCTAGTATTCTAGCAACATAATGGCCAGCCCTTTGGGTAAGAGGTCCAAGAAAGAGAGCAAGAGCCTAGCATTCAAATAAAAGTGAAATTTTAGTAAACTACACTTGAAACTTCTGTCCTGTGCTGTTCACCAGACTCCAGTCGCTAAGTTCAGTCCACTCGCAAGGAAAGAGAGTTTGTGAGGATATGAGTAGCTGAAGACAGAGACCACTGAGGACAATCTTAGTAATAGCCTATCATAAGATTTTGCATTTATGTACATTTGAATAATGCCCAGTAATGTTGTGGGCAACATCATCATTTTGAAAGTCATCATGCTATAATGCTCACTGAGCACTTGCTATGTACCATGGTTGTGTTTTTACTTACTTTCTTAGATTATCTGACTTAGCACTAGTTTTATAAAAATGTTTTACTGCTTATTAAAATGTGGTTTACTATTGTTTTGAACTATGTGAGTGAGCAGTGACACACAAAATCATGGCACTTTGGAGGAAAATTATTTGGCATTACATCATC